GCCTTGGACTTACCATCTCCCAGTCAATGACCTTGAAGAACGGATGATTTACAATATCCATGAAGGCAGACTCACGATGGCAGCCCAGGCGATCAGCGGGATTCTTGTTGAGGAAACCTTTCAAAACTGAAGCAGCCTTGACGCTCAACGAGCGCGGTATGCGTATGGTCTTCTCCAGAATCACTTGGAACAGATAATCCTCAGTGTTCTGCAAATGGCAAACAGAATTTATTAGAGAGTTACGTCGAGATAAGTAAATGCAACTTTACCTGATCTGGATTCTCGGAGGCGCCCGCAATGTCGAAGGGACTGCGTCCAGCGAGCATCTCGTAAAGCAGCACACCTAGCGCCCACCAGTCCACCGAGAAGCCGTAGTCCTCGCCGCGCAATATCTCCGGCGCAATATAGTTGGGTGTGCCGCAGAACGTGGAGGTCGTGTCGCCCGGACGGATGCCCTCCTTGCACATGCCGTAGTCCGTGAGCTTTATGTGACCCTCATGATCGAGCAGCACATTGTCCAGCTTTAGATCACGATAGATGATGCCCTTCTCGTGCAGAAAGTTTAATGCCAGACTAATCTCGGCAGCGTAGAAGCGGGCATGCTCTTCGGGCAGGCGACGTTGTCGCTGCATGTGGTACATCAAGTCGCCGCCGCGCACAAACTCAATGACAAAGAAGAGGCGCGAGGGTGTCTGGAAGCAAGAGTGCAGACCCACGAGGAACGGATGATTGGAGGCTGTCTCAAAGACATGCTTCTCCGTTTGCACCCAGTCAATGTCCTCGTCGTCGGTGACCAGCGCCTTCTTGATCACCTTCATCGCATAGATGCGACGCGTGCGCCTCAGCTCCACCATCAGCACCTTCGCATAGCTGCCGCGTCCAATTACGCGTATCAGCTCAAAGTCATTCAACGAATACTGACGCTGTGTGGCCGGCTCCATGGAGTCCTCCGGCGGTGGCGGCACCACAATGTGCGCATGCTCGTGCGACTCGTACGCATCCCCAGTGCCGGCAACCGCCTCGTATGGCAGCGGTGGCAGTGGCACCGGCATCGGATCGTTGGCCTCCTCGGCACGCTCCTTGACCAGCGGCTCCGGCTGGTCGGTGCACTGCTTCTGCACCAGCTTATGGCACTTTTTGTGCACCAACAGCTTGCACTGTATACACTTGAAACCCTGACGTCCCAGGCCCCAGATGCGATCCTGGCAATACGCACAGAAGGCACGCTACAAAAAGGGAATACAAAAATTAATTATTGTTTGCTTTTACTTTAATATATAATATATTAATATATTAGATATGATTTTTAATATTATCAAGCTAATTTAAATATTCGTTGTATTAAAAGATTACAATTTAAAAAATACTTTAATGTTCTTCAGGTAAATATTAAAAATACTACACTTTTTGCAAATTTTTAAATATTTAATTTACTATTTTAATTAGTTTTATTTATAACTTAATGAAACGCATTGCATTGAACAAACTTTTTTTTTTTTTAATAAAAATAAGAAATCTTTTCTTTTATATTTAAATATGTACAATTTTTAATACCGATTTAAGCATATTTAAGAATTTTCAAGTAATGTTTAATAATTATTGTGATTTATAAAAATGTTTTCTTTACGAATAAAATATTTAATTATTTTAGTTGCAAAACGTTTGGAAAATTTTTTGAGTTTAACAACACGATTAAACAATTTGTTTTTTTATTTCGTTGCACAATTATTTAATTATGTTATTATCTTTTTAAATAATTATTCAATATTTTTAAATTATTTTTAATCGTTTAAATAATTTTTTTATTGTATTAATCCAATCCATATTAAAGCATTTATTTATTAGTAAACTAAATCAATTTTGTTTTCACAAATCGAATATTGAATTGATTTAATACTTAACAATTTTATCAGAAGACTTTTGATTATATATATAAAACAAAGCAATTATAATCATTATGTGCAAGTGTCTGCCT